TTTATAACTAATAGCCAGCAAGGGTTTGTTAAAAACAGATCAAGCCAAACCAATCTTACTTCATTCTTCTAGAAAGTGACTAAACTAGTAGACCAGTGAAATGCTATGGATGTAGTATACTTAGATTTCAGTAAGGCATTTGATAAAGTACAACCTACTCCTTGGTAAGCTAGAAAAAGTGGAATAGACATCACCACCAGATGGATCTGTAGCTGGCTGGCAAACCGTACTCAGTGAGTAGTCCTCAACGGCACTACATCCACATGGAGAGAAGTAAGCAGTGGGGTACCACAAGATTCCATCTTAGGCCCAGCACTCTTCAATATGTTCATAAATGACTTAAATGAGGGAATAGAAGGGGAACTCATCAAATTTGCAGATGACGCCAAACTGACAGGAGTAGCCAACACTCCAGAACACAAACTCCGGATCCAAAAAGATCTTGACTAAGTTGAACAATGGGCCCTATCCAACAAAATGAGTTTCAATATGGAGAAAAGCAAAGTCTTACATTTAGGCAGGAAAAACCAAAGGTACAAATACAGATTGGGCGAGACCTGGCTCAAAAACAGCAATGTGAGAGGGACCTTGGAGTCCTAGTGGACGATCACTTCACTATGAGCCAGCAGTGTGCAGCAGCAACCAAAAAAGCTAATACAATCCTGGGTTGTATAAACATAGGCATAGTATCAAGATCACATGAAGTATTTGTACCACTTTATAAAACCCTAGTAAGACCACATCTGGAATACTGCAGCCAATTTTGGTCACCATATCACAAAAAAGATGTTGAGAGTCTGGAAACAATTCAGAGAAGAGCAACTAAGATGATCAAAAGCCTGGAGACTAAAACATACAAAGAACGGCTGCGGGACTTGGGTTTGGATAGTCCAGCAGTTCTCAACCTGTGGGTCGCGACCCCATTTGGGGTCGAACGACCATTTCACAGGGGTCGCCAAACAACGCAGTCCACCATTTTTTCCCCTTTTCCTTAGCTGTGTTACTCCCTCTTATTCTATTGGCTTTTGAAAGCCAATAGAATAGACTCTATTGACTAGACTCTATTCTATTGGCTTTCGAAAGCCAATAGGAATTGTCCAGACCTGGTCGTTAATGGCTGTCTCTGCACTGGAGAGCGTGCCAAAAGACCCAGCCTGAAAACGTTGCACATGCAAGTTGTCTGCAGCAAAGGCAAGTTTGCAGGAACTTTTCATCCCTCCCTGCTGAGCAACTACGCCATCTCCTACTTGTAAGTAAAAGAGGACCAGGGGTGGGAGATGGGGAGCAGCACTTAATTCGGCCCTGCCAAAAAAGCGGAGTCTGTGTGCACTCCTGCCTCATGCGCACCCATGTCAGCCAGGCTCTCCATGTTGCGCTGCTACATGGAGAGCCTGGTACTGAAGGACACAAAACATGTGCTCGCTGCCTCATGCTCACCTTGTACGGCATCGGTGTGCATTGCGGCTGCTGCTGTGGGAGCCACGGGGCCTGCTTGACACAGGGCTGCTGTGCAGGAAAGGTGGTGGCAGAGGTGGTGCTGGCGGGGTGGGTGGCTGACCTTCCTTGGGCTGGGCCAGCTGGTGGCCTAGCCAGTTCTGAACCTGCGCCGCCACTGCCTCACCCTGTATGCCTGTATGGCCGCCCTGGAGCACCTGGCCCATGATGCTTGCCGCTGCCTCGGCCTGCCCTTAGCCCACGCCCTCCTGCCGTCCTGCATTGGCATCTGGCTTGGCAACTGCAAGCTCTGCACTATGAATGTGGTGTGCAGCTGGTGCTGTGGGAGCTGCAGGGCCCGCTCTACATGGTGGGGCTGCGCGGGGTGGGCGGCAGGGCTGGCAGGGCAGCTGCAGGCTGGGGTATGGGGGTGGGGGTGGCTGCACCAGCTGCTTCAGCTCTGGGGGGGTAGCCCGCCACCGATGCCCCCCATGCTTCACACATCATACTCTTAGGAACCTGTCTCACTTTAAACTCCCCCTAAAATTCTTCATTCAGGCAGGCTTCCAGAGTTCGGCCAGCAGGATGCAGGTAGCTCCTCCCCGCTGTCCTACCACCTCCCACGGCACCGCGCCACTCCGTGTCCTGCAACTTAAGCCTCCGTGGCACCGAACCGCTAGCGTCCCCAATGGCCACTGACACGCTCCCTGCCGCCGGCGACCATGCAAGCCCTGGCAGTTGTTCCAGCCAAAGAAGCAGGTGGCTGGGAGGCCGCCATGGCACCGATCTTCTGCACCCATCAGCTGGCTACCCCCTGAATGTGAGCTTGTCAGCTGGGAGGTCTGGCGACGGAGCCGGCCAGCATGGAGGGCGATGGGGAGATGGCGGCTTGGCGGGCAGGTTCCCGCCTGCCCGTGAATGTCGGGCCCACGGGGCTCAACACAGAGTTGACGGTCCAACATAACTTCCCTCCTCGGCTGTCCCTTTCCCCCCCTCAAACATCAACAGGAGGTTGCAGACAACTAAGTCAGCTGGTGCAGGAAGCCCTGGAATGGCCAGTCCAGGGTGCCTGGTTGCAGTGCTGGATGTCTTTTGCTCCTCCTAGAAGCCGGTGTCAAGAAAAAGAAGTTGTTCAAACTTCAAGCTAGCTACTGAATACCTATTCACACTTTTTTCCCTTTTTTTTTTTGAGTACTTGTCTGCCAACCCACCCCATCTGTAAAAGAAAAAGTCTTCCACCCAAGCATAACTTTTAAGGATTTTAAGGATCTTTGAGCGGAAGAGAGGGAGAGAGAAATAGAGAGAGGGAGAGAAAGAGGGAAAGAGAAATAAAGAGAGGGAGAGAGAGAAAGAGAGAGTGACAGGGAGAGAGAGAAGGAGAAAGAGGGAGAAAGGGAGAGAGAGAGGGAGAGAGAAAGAAAGGAAGAGAGGGAGAGAGAGAAATAGAGAGGGGAGAGAGGGAGAGAGAGAAAAAGGAAGAAAGGGAGAGAGAAAGGGAGAGAAAGAAAGGAAGAGGGAGGGAGAAAGAAAGAGAGGGAGAGAGAAAGAAAGGGAGAGGGAGAGAGAAATAGGGGGAGAGAGGGAGAGAGAGAGAAAGAGGGAGACAGAGAGAGAGGGAGAGAGAAAGAAAGAGGGAGAGAGACATTAAATTAGTAACATGGTTGTTAAATGAATCTGGTTTCCCCCATTAATGTTGCTTGTCAGAAGGTTGCAAAAGGGTCACGTGACCCTGGAACAATGTGACCATAAATATGAATCAGTTGCCAAGCATCAAAATGTAAATCACATGACCCTGGGGATGCTGCAACGGTCATAAGTGTGAAAAATGGTCATAAGTCACTTTTTCAGTGCCGTTGTAACTTTGAACAGTCACTAAGCTTGGCTCTCCACCAGGCTCTCTGCCAGAGCCTTCTCCCCTCCCCGGGCAATGGTGCGGAGCTGCTTGTGCGCCCTTGGCAGCGCCTCCCCCCTTCAATCTCCTTCCTTCTCCATCTCCTTCCTTTCCCCTTCAATCTTCCTTCCTTCCTTCCTTCCATCTCCATCCCTTCCCCTTCAATCTCTCTCCTTCCTTCCTTCCTTCCTTCCTTCCTTCCTTCCTTCCTTCCTTCCTTCCTTCTTTCCTTCCCCCTTCAATCTCCTTCCTTCTCCATCTCCTTCCTTTCCCCTTCAATCTTCCTTCTTTCCTTCCATCTCCATCTCCATCCCTTCCCCTTCAATTTCTCTCCTTCCTTCCTTCCTTCCTTCCTTCCTTCCTTCTTTCCTTCCCCCTTCAATTTTCTTCCTTCTCCATCGCCTTCCTTTCCCCTTCAATCTTCCTTCTTTCCTTCCATCTGCATCCCTTTCCCTTCAATCTCTCCTTCCTTCCTTCCCTCCCTCCCTCCTTCCTTCCCCCTTCAATTTCCTTCCTCCTCCATCTCCTTCCTTTCCCCTTCAATCTTCCTTCCTTCCTTTCATCTCCATCCCTTTCCCTTCAATCTCTCTCCTTCCTTCCTTCCTTCCTTCCCCCTTCAATCTCCTTCCTTCTCCATCTCCTTCCTTTCCCCTTCAATCGTCCTTCCTTCCTTCCATCTCCATCCCTCCTTCCTTCCCTCCCTCCCATCCTTCCTTCCTTCCTTTCCTTCCCCCTTCAATCTCCTTCCTTCTCCATCTCCTTCCTTTCCCCTTCAATCTTCCTTCCTTCCTTCCCCTTCCCTCCCTCCCAACATTTTTGAGCAAGGAAGAATAAGCTTCTCCATCCAGCATTGCTATATTGTTTTTGTGATTAATCACTATGCTTTAATTATGTTCAATTTGTAACAAGGAAAATACACCCTGCATATCAGATGTTTACATTACGATTCATAACAGTAGCAAAATTACAGTTATGAAATAGCAACGGAAATAATTTTATGGTTGGGGGTCACCACAACATGAGGAACTGTATTAAGGGGTCGCGGCATTAGAAAGGTTGAGAACCACTGGGCTAGTCTAAAGGAAAGAAGTAATAGGGAATACATGATAGCAGTATTCCAGTATTTGGGGAGCTGCCACAAAGAAGAGGGGGTCACGTTATTCACCAAAGCACCAGAGGGAAGGATGAGAAACAATGGTTGGAAATTGATCAAAGAGATAAGCAACCTGGAATGAAGGAGGAAGTTCCTGACAGTGAGTACAATTAATCAGTGGAAAAGCTTGCCTTCAAAAATCATGGGCGCTCTATCACTGGAGATTTTTAAGAAGAGACTAGACAGTCACTTGTCTGAGATGGTATAGGTTCTCCTGCTTGAGCAGGGGGCTGGACTAGAAGACCTCCAAGATCCCTTCCAGCTCTATTCTATTCTAAATGAGGATGGTAGGAGAGAGACCGGGTTGTCGTCGAAAACGTTAAGGAAAAATACAACTAACATGAAATAAGAGTGGAAGCTATTTCTTCTGAACGGTTCCCTTCACGTTGGCTTCCTCCCTGTTTCTGCCATTGGTTTGTAAGTTTAGGCGCTGCAGAGGCAGGAACCGTATTGATTTTGGCCTCCGGGAGTAACCTTCCTTGCCAGTGCAAACCAAGAAGCAGAAGAGGGTTGTTAAAAGGCGAGGGACGGAGGGTGGGAGGGAAGAGGCTCCTCTTACAGCTGGGTTTGTTTACCGCTCAAGCCGAGTCTTAAATAGATGTCTGCGCGGAAACCCTGAGAGGGGGCGGAGGTAGAAGGGGACGCGTTACTTTGGGAGACATGAATAATCTCAGAAGTATACAGTGCGAGGTCGAGGCAGCAGAGAGCGAGGCTGGAGGGCGTGTGTGGCTTCGCTCAGCCCCTCTCAAGCCGCCCCCGGCTCCCTTTCTTCCCAAAACAAAATATGGCCGAAACCGGGGGAGGTTTTCTGGAGCAACTCAAGTCTTGCATCATCTGGTCCTGGACGTACTTGTGGACTTTCTGGTTCTTCGCCATGCTTTTTCTCGTCTACATCTTGAGGGTGCCTTTGAAGATCAATGACAATCTGACCTCAGGTAAGTAACGCACCTTTTTCTCTCCTTGCCTAACCTTAGGCCGAGGACATCGGCTGTGTAGTTCCGGGATGGCTGGAAGGTGGCGGATGATGGGTTCTCTGGAGGGGAAAGGCGGGGAGGTAGAAATTTTATTTAGAGCCCACCTAGTTCCACGTTGCAGGCTGAAAAGCACCATCGCTCTTGATGGCAGAGAAGTGTAACGTTTTTCTTCTGCTCCTGTTGTACCTCTTAGGTGGTAAAATTGGAGAAGACTCAGGCTGGTTCTCTGCTCGGTTTTGGTGTTTTGTTTGTTTGCTTGTTTTTTGTCCCGTTAGAAAGAAATCCAACCACCGTCTTCCTATTATCTCCGTTTCAGCTGCGTGAGCCTCCATAGGAGGCTTTTTTGAGTTGGGTATCATGGTTTTATACTCACTTTCTCCTTCCCAATTTCCTCGTGGAGAGAACGGGTGGGAACATTTGGGCAAGCTGGTTGCGCCTACTGGCCTGTTCTGTCCCAAACTAAAACTCTTATAGAAAAATATTGGAGGGGTGTTCCTGCACCCGGATATGGCAATAACTATGCACATTAAAAGCCAACCAGACTAAAACAGTCTTTTCAGATCTTGTATCTATGGATGTACTGGGCTGCAGCTTTTAGAGGTTTTGGTTAACATGTTGAGTAGGGTAGGAGGAACCGTAATCCTGTCTGTAGGTTTGGTGAACAGAAAACTATGGAAGTTCCATTTAGCTACCATAACAATCACTACTGTAAGAGTTGACACGTTTCCTGCTCCATGAAAATAGTGAATAAACAGGGCTAAATATTTTGCAGGCTGCAGGGAAAGACTGTTATTCCACTGCATACCTACATAAAGAAGTAATCAAGTAAGAATTGTAGGGACAGGATGCTGTGTATCAACAGCAGCAAAAAGTTATGACATGCCATAAGTTGCAGGCTGATCTTTCCAAGCTCTTGATAGGACTTGCTCCTGGCTCCATTTGATTGCCAGAAGCAGTGATACCACCAGGTTGTGCAAATAGGATAGTGGCCTTGTGGCCACTAAGATTTTTCCTTATCCATTTAAAAAAGTAGATATAAGTATGTTATGTCGTATATCTGACATAGAATCATTAATACACCAATATTGGAATGGTATGGAGATTAATGTGGTGTTTGTCATACTTTGAACTAGCATGATGCCAACATATAACAGGAGGTAACAATGAATAGGACTTGCTTTTAAATATTGATTTATACAGTTTGAATTATCCAGATAGTTGCATGAAATAACTCATAAATGCCTAAAAATTAGACCAGGTAGATAAATATTTTGAGATGACTACTTTCATAGTATTTTTACTAATTTTTACTATTTTTCACTAATAGTGAAATGCATATGGAAGTTTAAAAATACAAATGCTAGCAGAAAAGTAGCAAGGAATGTTTGCTCCAAGAAGCAAAAATGTGAATACTAGTGTTTGCTCACTTTGTTATGTGAAGTAAGGTATTTTTGCATGAATGAGAACCATTTTGGTGTAGTGCAGGGGTTTTCAAACCTGGCCATTTTATGACTTGTGGATTTCAACTCCCAGAATTCCTCAGCCAGGCACACTGGCTGAGGAATTCTGGGAGTTGAAGTCCACAAGTCATAAAATGGCCAAGTTTAAAGACCCCTGGTGTAGTGGATAAGGGAAACAGGGAGACTGAGTCCTAATCCTGTCTTAGGCACAAAACCTACTGTGTAACTTTTGGCCAGTCATTTTCTCTCAGCCCTAAGAATGAAGCAATGGCAAACCACTTCTGAAAAACCTTGTCAAAGAAAAAAAAAAACCAGACATGATTGAACAGAAGAAAAAAAATGCAGCAAGAAAAATACAAGCATTTAGACCAGAGTTTACATTGACAGACTCTGCAAATCAGTTGGAAAACAAAGGAGAAAGGAAAAAGTTAAATATTTATTTTGTTTTTAGATGTCTTTTTTCTTTTTCTTTTTAACATTAATAATATGATAGAGACTTTGTTACTAAGCTCAAAAATTCCTATTGCTTTTTTTTTCTTTTTTAACATTATGAAAACAACTTAATCTTCTTTGCATGGTACCTCTCATTAATTTACTTTATTTATTTATTTATAAAATGTATTTGCTGCACATCTCATATCCAACAACTCTGGGCAACAAACAATATTGAGCTTTAATTGTAACACTATAGAAACTTTGTATACATCTAACATCTTTTAACTTTATGTTCTATTGATTTAATTGTAATTTGATTATTTTGAGCGACTTTAAATTGACAAGAATTAGGGGACACAGAAGTTTAATAAATTATTAACTTTCTTTGAAAATATATTTTAAATACAAATGTGGGAAAAATTATAGCGGAAGCATAGTACCACAAGCTTGTCCTAACTCACACACAGACCCAAAAACTTGGCAGATGTTGCTGTGCCATTCTAATTTGTCACACAAAAGAGGCAGTCAACTTATTTTCCATTGGTCCAGAGGACAGGGCTGGAACCAATAGGTGAACAAGGAAGAAGCTTTTAATTGAATGACAGAAGGAACTTCCTGACTATAACAGGCTGCCAGCCAGTGGAAAAGACTGCTACACAAAATAATGAGTTTTCCTTTGCTGGAGATCATGGAAAATAAGAAGGATAGTCATCTGACATAAAAGAATAATGCAATACTTTTATTAAAAACAAAAGCAAGGTTGTTACAGTATATATCCATTCTTTAGACTTAAATATTATTCAGAGTTTGAATCAAAAGTTGCTAAAAGAAGACAAAGATGTATTTATTTCTTAGTCTAGATATGAATAACTTATTTAATGATTAAATGCATTTAAATATAGTTCTTAGTGGAACTTGTAGGCCAGGAAAAAAAATACAGCTATTTAGAATTGCCAAAAGCATTATTCCCTTTGTTGAAAGAAAAATCTTCATCAAGGTCCAGTCCAAGCTGGGAATAAACAAAATGGAGACTGCTTTAGAAAGAAGATTGTGGTTTATTGAAGAGCAAAACCAGACAGAAGCTGACTCTGGGAAAACTGATCATATGTTGCTGGAAGTGGTGGGTTTTTATACTTTCTTGGGCTTTTGAGGTTGTTTCCTGTTCCTGTCTGAGGCTTTGTATTTCCTGTGTCATGTACTTTGACCTGAGTCTGAGTGTGCCCTTTTGGTATTGGTGGATTAATCTTATTATGTTAGAGAAACCAAAATTCAATCCAGGGTCTTTGAACACTAAATCAAGTTTGTCAGCCAGTCCAATGGTCAGAGTTTCAGGGTTTCCAAACAGAAATCACAACACAGAACAAGAGATCAGAGAGTTGTTTCCAAGATCAGCAACGGCACACAAAACTCCAAGCATTCAGAGTTTGTTCCCAACAAATACATCTCCTTAAGTCTGTCTCCACAAGGTGTGTCTTGTGGAGAGGGGCGGGACGCTCTCGTCCTGAGTAGTTGAGCCTGCCTGCGTTGTTCTCTCCACTTCCATGCTCTAGGATCAGGAGGGGGTGGCCCTTGCTCATCACCTGAGCTCTGTCTCTCATGTTCATCCTGTCCCAATCCTGAAAGGCCTTGGCCTGCCTCAGCCTGTTCTTCCCCACATTCTTCTGAAGCCACAGACATCTCTCCCTCAACCTCCATCAGCTCCAGTTTTAGCTCATTTTCCTCAGCAGATTCAGGCTTCAACAGGGGCATGACACTAGGTGTACTCGCCTGAGGCTATTTGGCAGCTTCAGTTCTAAGTAACTAGACTTACAATCCAGATAATCTGGAAGAGTCCTATGTACTTGGGACCCAGCTTCTTACAAGGTTGCCTTAGGTTGAGGAATTTGATGGACAGGTATATTTTATTTCCCACTTTGAACTCCCCCTGTGGTACCCTCTTGTTATCTGCCTGCCTCTTTTGCATCTCCCTAGCTTTCTGCAATGCCAAAGAAAGACAATATTTGTAACTCAGGATTCAAATGAGGAGTCCATGGTGGTCTCTGAGCTTGCTTATTTTCTTGCAGACGTTTCAATACCCTAGGTCAATGGTGGCGAACTCAGCCCTCTCTGTGGACACCTGTGCCATTGCCCCAGCCCTGCCTCCCCCCATGGCCCCTCCTCACCAAAAGGCCCCCAGAGGAGAGTCGCCCTGGGCATGGCCCGCGCAGAGCAGCGCAGCCAAGGACATCGCAGCCGGGCAGCAGGGACAAGTCTCTGCCCTTGCATCTCATTGCACGAAGATGGTGCGGGAGGGCGTGGATGCCATGACGCTGCTGGGCCACCTGGGCGATCTGCGGTGGGCCATGGAGTCAGTGGGTTTTCAGCAAATTGGGAGAATATGAGAATGAATTGGCAGTAAAAGTTTGCAAAGTCCAATATTGTCTTCTTTGCCTGCTTTGAAAACAGATCTAACAAAGGCCAGATGACTGTATTTACCATACTTTCAGGTAGGTCTACTTAGCATCAGCTAAGAGGTTTTTTTCCTCTGGTATGTACTTTAGGGTAAAATTAAACTGGTTAAAGTATTGCGCCCATCGTACTTGTTTCGGGGACAAGTTTTCAGTGCTTCTAGGTTTTTGTGATCAGCCCATACCTCAAAAGGCACCTTGCTCCCTTCTAGAGTGTCACCAGTTTAATAGAGCCCATCAGATTGCAAAGGCTTCCTTCTCCCACACAACCTACCTCATCTCGCACTCAATTTTTTTGAGGTATAGGCGCAGGGTTGTAGGGTCCCACTCTGGTTCTTTTGAAACAACAAACTCTGACAGCCACCTCACTGGCATCGGCCTGAATCACAAAGGGCTTCCCTGGGCAAGGATGCTTTAAAACCGGTTCGACCGCAAATAGCTTTTTTAAATTCTCAAAAGCGGTTTGACAGTTCATAGTCCATGCTAATGGTTGGCCTGGATGTGGATTTCCTCCCTCCTTGCCTGTTTTCGGTAATTCCGTTAGGGATAAGGCAATTTCAGCAAAGGAGGGGATGAACTGGCAGTAGAAGTTGGCGAATCCCAAAAAGCTCTGGAGCTG